CATAGTTTGAATTCTAGTCGAATCCATTACATTCACTTCACCTTGGGAAAGGTATGAATCCCCAGCTATGGGTAAATAGCAAGACAGATCTGGTTTTGTATTCTTGGATGGCAACTGGTCTACCGTAGAAAGAAATGGTAACCTACTGCGGGAAAAATCTGCCTCGTCAATCATGTATCGAAAGATAAATGATCGCCTAAGCGTGTATCACGCATGACTGAAGTAATTGTGAACACATATTTTGAAACAAATGGGTATGAAATGGGTTTATGAAATTACAAGAGATTTTCAATGGTTGATTAGTGGCATTATTGCCTTGATTGGGGTGAAATGTTGAAAAAAAGAGTAGATATCACACCGAATTAAATTAAATACGCTAATGCTAAATTTTAATGCTAAAACAGTTTTTATTATGTTTGGGCATTTTTTTTCATGTACGCCTATTTTTGTAGCAAAATTTTTTATATATATATATATATATATATATATATATATATATATATATATATATAATAATAATACAATATGGTAATCCGTATGGAATTTCCAGGAGTATGTACATCCAGGGAGAACTCTATGTCAAGAGACAGATCAAAATTATTATTAATTAAGGAATATCAAATGCTTAAAGTCCCATAGGAAATAATTTCCCCTTCCCCAAATGACAACAGTCAGTTATGTGCCATGTGTGATACACGCTTAGGCGATCATGTACCTTTCGACACATGACTGACGAAGGAGATTTTTTCCAGCAGTAGTTTGCCATTTCTTTCTATGGTGGACCAGTTGCCATCCAAGGCTATAAAACCCGGTCTGTCCTACTATTTATCCATAGCTAGGGGGAGAAGAAGAGGATTCATACCTTTCCCAAGGTTATTAGCACGTAAGTGAATGTAATGGATTCAGCTGGAATTCGAACTCGGCTCTCTGATTCCTCAATCCGAGCCGCTATCCATATCCTGAAATTAGGTCAGCGCAAACTTCGCGTGAGAATGAAATCGTAGGTCCTTAAAAGTAAACTCCTACTACAGTTATATGGAAATTTGATTCACACCACTTTGACCCTTCCCACTCTCTAAATGAGATAGCAATAGTTCCTGATATTAACATGGAGTAAACTTTTTCCATTTTATGTGTTTGTAAGTCTTGAAGATTGAGAAGTGTTTCTTAAAGCTCTCATGAAATAAAAATTATTACCTATGGGATTTTAAGTTTTCTGAAATTCTTATATTATTCTCTATTATATATATATATATATATATATATATGTATATATAATAGAGAAGATAAGTTGGTCACTAAAACAAAGTCAAACGAAAGGGTACCGATGAAATCAGTACGAAAAACATTTATTAATATATTTTTTATTGACCAACTTATCTTATTATAAACTATATGAAGCATACATGGACTCTTTTATATATATATATATATGTATATAAGCAAGTGTAAATGGATATAAATCCGACAGAATGAAGAAATTTTGAAAAAACAAACAAAAATCCTTCATTTAACTACATTTAAGGATTTTTGTTTGTTTTTTCAAAATTTCTTCATATATATGTATATATATATATATGTATGTATGTATGTATATATATGTATATATATATATATATATAATATTAGTGGTAAATATACACATACATATGCAAAATATATAAATATATATACATACATGCATACACATACATGTATATTTTTTGAATAAAAAATTCCAAGAGGATAGAATCCAGGTAGAACTCAATGTCCAAGACAGAGTAAGGATATAATAAAGGCTTAAACACTAATACTCCATGGATATAATTTATTCCATTGGAATCGTAAATACGATCCAATTCATCTGACCTATTTGTAGGTCTGATGAATTGATATTTTGATTCAATGGATAAATTATATCCATGGATATGATTTTTAACATTTTTTATTATATATATATATATATATATATGTGTGTGTGTGTGTGTGTGTGTGTGTGTGTGTGTGTGTGTGTGTGTGTGTGTGTGTTTTTCTCAAACATTCAGGCCGGTAAATGGAATTAATACTGTTTAATTAAAAGCAGAGTATTTACTTAAATAAATTGTATCTATAAAAAAAATAACGTGTTAAGAGAAAATATATTAAATAATTTTTTAACTTAATCTACTTCATTATACGTTGTCATGTTTACGTTACGATACGTTTCGTGAACAGATATGTTCAACCGAGAAAAATCGTCGAAGAATGTGCGTTTAAAAACAGTAATTTGGACTTTGATAACCAGACGCTTCCTGTAGCTAAATGGTATAGCACGTCAGATCAAATGATGGATTCCATGTAGGAATACAGGTTCTATTCCTTTCGGTGAACGCATATTTTCTACGAAATTTCTTGAACATTCAGGCCGGTAAATATAATTAATACTACTGTTTTATTTTATATATATATATATATATATATATATATATATATATATAAATATAAAACAATTATTAAACATAATAAAAACAAAGTTTTATCGTCAAAATGATTATGTTATTATTAAGAGGAACGATCAAAAGAAATTTTTTACAATCATTTTTAATTTTTTTCCTTTTTAGTACCTTCGAAATTTTGGTCAAAATCTTTGTTTTTGTTGCGTCAGGTGATGACTTTAGATTAGCATGGGAAATTTTAGCTTTGTGCAAAACACACTGGTTTGGAAATTCTTGCAAAAATCAGATAATTGGCGGATTTTAATGAAACTTTCAGGACTTACTCATAAATGACTGAAATTATCTTTGAAATGTTTCGTTTTTAGAGAATCTTTGCAAAACTACAATTTTATTACATCTGTTTTATTCCATCTGTTTATTACATCTGTTTTATTACATCTGTTTCGATACACTTATTTAATTTTATGAAATATCGATAAATTCTTTTTTTATAAGGATTAATATTTATATTAGTAAAAGGACAAGTCCTTAGAGAATTTAAATCAGGAAACTTTTTTGGTCAAACAGGGCCCTCCGTTTCCTCTGAATTGTAATATAAAAAAATGCAATAAAACCGTAACATAATTTAATGCAAAAAGCTTTTGTTTGCTTTCATGTATAAAATATATTATGGCTATTGTCTTGAGAAAAATACTTTTTCAATGAATAATGAAGTTTTAAACGATTTTTTTTACTTTATTTCAAATTTTAATTAGAATAATTTATAAAGTTTTAAATCTTTTAAAATTCTGTATATGTAGCGTTCAAATGATATTGTTATCAAATTAATTCTGCATTTACTAATCATAAATGGAAACGCTCACTTCAATCCAAAAACCCGAATATTTTAAAAATAATTTTGAATTTATTTTGCGTGTATAAACGTTTCGATTTTTTTAAACGCGACATTATCAAAAAATAAGAGCGGTAACTAACAAAGTTCAAATTTGCTGGTAATTTTCTAATATTGACCCGGTGAGACTTTGTGACAAGAAGTGAGCCCTTAGGCTCGTGTCATATATAAGTAAATTTCTCTTTAGAAAGGTTTACATCAAATATGTGACACCTAGTGAGCACCTAAAAGTGCTATTGTTCGGAAACCTCAAAATGTCACTTATTTCATTATTGTATTTTGCTATGAGATTCATATCGTTGCGTTGTACAATCTTTTTAAACAAGCAGTGTAACTGTTGAAGAATTAAACGGCGCAAATATTTTGGTAAAAAGCAACCAGAAACCCGAAAGGAAAACTGGTCCGAATTACACGTTTACTTATTTTAATTTAATTTTAATTAAAAAAAAATTAAAACTAAATTAATTTTTTGCTAATAAATTAAATTAAAATAATTAAAATTTTAATTCGGACCCGTTTTCCTTTCGGATTTTTTGTTGCTTTTCAATTTAATTTTCATTTTAAATTGATTTGTTCTTGCTTTTGTGACGTCTTAATTTATTTCAGTTTTTATTTTATTTTGGACTCACCAGCTGCAGAATTATCTTAGAGTGATGTTCTTTCACGACGTACGCCAATAATTGTCTTCATGGATTCCTTTTATTCTGTTGTAACCTAGAAACGTTTACGGTATAACCAAAACGGAGGTTGGAAATGAAATGGTAATCTTTATAACATCAACAAAATACAATACTCGCCAGCGGCGTGAAGTAGGTAAACAACTATTTAGACAGCATATTACTCCTCCTTAGAGTAGTGTCCAACATATTTATGAGGATTGAGACATACTCATTAGTGTTCATAGGTACGGTCTATAACAATTATCTATCTATCTATCTATCTATCTATCTATCTATCTATCTATCTAATTCTCAACATTATTGTTGTAACCTAGGAATGGTTACTGAATGAGGAATAACCAAAATGGAGGTTGGAAAAGAAATGGTAATCCTTATAACATCAACAAAATACAATACTCGCCAGCGGCGTAATGTAGGTAAACCACTGCTAGTGGTGGACTACTTAGACAGTATATTACCCCCCACCGCCTTATAATAGTGTTCAGCGTATTTATAAGGATTGGGACATACCTATTAGTGTTCATAGGTACGGTATATAACATATTCCTTACATGTAAATTGCCATGATTTCTTCGTAAATATAGTGAAGTGGTTTTCTGGCTGCCTTCACCACAGTTTTAAATTTGTAGTTAACATTCTCCAAGACTAGCTACCATTCATAGCCACTGAGTCTATCCCATATCTTTCCCAAGGACAATAGTCGGAATTTGAACTCAAACCACTGCATCCTCTTTCCACGCAGGCACATCCTGCGATTGATTTATTTTTTGCGGCTTATCAACCTTTTGTAAGTTATTTAAAACTTGACAATACTTTTAAACTCTAAGAATATTTTAAAGCTAATAATAATTTCCTGATGCAACTCCTACTAATTAACCCATAGCTGGGGACAAAAGAGATGGATTCTTCCATTTCCCAAGCGTAATTGAATATAACGAACCCGACTAGAATTGGAACTCGGTACTCCGATCTCAAATTCCGCTCGTATTTCAACCCCCACTCGCACATCCAATCATACAGCACCCGGTCTTCACAAGCGGGCACCCATCTAGGTACTGACTAAGTTCGACGTTACTTAACTTTCCGTGATCGTATGAGAACCGGTGATTGAACGCAATATGGGCGTAAGTCTTTTGTAGATTGCACGATGGAATTTCTTGCATGAATGAGTTAAGGTAACGTAATTTGCCGGCGTCGCTTAACAGTGCCATGGAACGAGTTAAAAAATTGTATAAGGTAAATAAAAGAAATGTTTTAGGTGTGAAAGAAGTAAAATCAAGACGAAAAGTAGAAGAAGAATGAAATCGTGCTTGGAATAAAAATGCGATTTTACAAGGAATTATATGCGAAGGCGGAATGAATAACTAGAAAAAAGAAACAGAAAAGCCTGCATTTGAAGAAGTGTCTACCAGACAAAAAAAAAAAATGAATAAAAGTCGTATAAAGAGCTGGTCTGTTTTTATTATCTCAACCAAAGCAAGGCGATAAGAGAAGGAGCCGGAAGCCCAATCCTAAACAGGAAACAAGAAACACATTCAATAGACAGTTCTACTATGCTACCCGGTCTAAGGATTGAACTCGTAATTACTTTTTCACCAAGTTTGCGAACAAACGCTTTATTGCACTAGGCTAAGCGGATTCAACAACGTTTGGCGTAAAACGTGGAGCCTTAAACCGAATCTGCTGAGAATGCTGCTGCTTTTCAGGTGACACTGCATTCACGGGAGCTTCTCACTTTTTAAAATTCTTTACTGCTGCTGCTATTGAAGCCTTACTGTCATTCCACTTTTGTTTTATTTTTAATTAACAGCTTCATTATCGTATTTATGCAAGGAAGTCATCAGAGACTAGCATATAAACGACTCTTCTGGGTTCCTCTCTGTCTAGTCTCCTTCTACTTGCCGTGTTTCTGCAGAACGTGGGCGATCATTGCTCTCCACATCTTCATGCCCTTTGTAGCTCTTGGTAAGGTTTGTCTTTTTGATGTGCCTCCTAACCTCTGCACTACAAAGCATTCACACAAGTTCATTAGGTAGGTTATGCTCTGTTTTCCCTGTCGCTCTTGCTTTCAATATGCCTTGTGCAAGTTAAAGTCTCCAAGCCCTCTTTCCTCATTATGTGCCCTAGGAAATTCAATAGTCGTGTTCGGATTCTAAGTAGAAGTACCCTTCTTGCTTTACAAAATTAAAAATAACAAGAAAAACAATAGGAAATGATAAATAGAGGAAAAGAAACAAGAAAGAAAGAAAAACAAAAAAGAAAGAAAGAAAGAAAAACAAAACAAAAAGAAAGGTAGAAAGAAACAATTTGAAGAAAAATAAAATAATAAATTAAAAATAAAATGCAAATAAGGAAGAACGAACAAATGAATTAATAAATGGAAAAAATAAATGAAAGAAAAATATACACGGTATCCATAAATTCTCTTGACAATTTGAAAAAATTATTACAAATGCGACTGATGAGATATCTAAAACAGATTTATTCTATGTACTCAGTAGTTATCAAAGTTTTAATTAAAGTTTTTAATTAAAGTTTTTAATTGCATTTGTGTATTTCGGGAATCCTATTGATGAGATACTGTTAAATGAACCCATAACGTTTTCAGACCGGTGGATAGCCCAATATCCTGACCACCTCGTTCGTCAGAACGTCTTTCTGTGGAGTTATGTTAAAGATATCGTGTATCGAACAAAGATACGGGATATCCCTGATATAAAGCAAAAGATCACTTATGCCATTGCCACCATTGATGAGGCTATGCTACAGCGAACATGGCAAGAAATCGAGTAACGTCTTGATGTGCTTCCTGCAACTAATAGTGCTCATGTAGATGTGTATTAAATTAGTTCAAAAGAACTTCACTATCGACTACTCATTTTGTAACATTTTTCACATATTTCTCAGTGAATTTGGTTTTGCAATAATATTTTTTTTATTTGTAAAGATACTTCATGGACAGTGTGTATCTCATGGAGACACGTGTTTGAGTAGAAAACCTTTTTTTAATCAGTGTAAATTTACGTCAATCGGCATTCAAGAATCTTAACAAAGAAATTATGCCATCCGGCAGGGTTCAAATATGCACACCGCCTTGTAGAACAAACCACCTTTAAACACGGTGTGATATATATATATATATATATATATATATATATATATATATATATATATCACATTATATCAGTTTTATATAATTTATCATCCGAAAAGAAAAAAAAACTATTAGATGGCCTGAGAAATTGTATGAAATAAAAGCACATTTTCTGTCGTATTCAATGAAATGTGCATGAAGAAGGATTGCTACCTAAATACACGAATACACACACACACACACACACACACACACACACACACATATATATATATATGTATATTGTTGAGGGTCCACCCATTTTTATACAAATGGACTCACCCAGTGTATACTTATACTACTGCCAGTGAATACCCGAAGAGCGAGTCGTGTCGAGTCCAGAGTAAAAGTTTGTAGGTAACCGGAAGAGTGAGGGTGAGG